TATTAATCTGATGCTCACCTATTTTGCAAGAGATTGTAGGAGATCCAGGATCTTTTAATTTTATAGGATATTTATTTTGAATAACTGAGCTCAATTGCTCAGTCAAGAAGGCTTTCTTTGGAACATTTGTTTTCCTCTTTGTTGTTACTAAATCCTTCAAAAACTTTGCATAGGCAGGTACTTGTTTAATAGCATCTAAAAATGGAATATGTATTTGCACTTGTTTAAACATTTCTAAGATATCTCCTGTTTTACTGTTATCTTTTGGAGCTAGGAGCCTATGAGGATATGGAGCTTTAGGAATAAATTTACTATTCTCAATTTCAGTACTCTTAGGATTTGACTTTTTAGGTTCTTCATACTTTTTGTGTTCATCATCTATAGAGTTCTTAGTTCTCTTATTCTCTTCATTCTCACTTTCAGGTTCCTTCACATTGTTATTAACTTGCTTACCGGACCTAAGAGAGATGACAGATTGCACATTTTCTTGCTTAGAACTAGAACTAGGCTCCTCATTAATAACATACTGACCCTTAGGATTAGGAATGGGCTGACTAGGAAATTTGCCTTTTTCTCTTTCTCCTATATGAGTAGCTAACTGACCCATTTGAGTTTCTAACTTAGAGATGGCGGTAGTATTTAGGTGGGTGGCATTTTTAATTTCTTGAAGTGCCTGACTCGTTGATTGCATAACTTGAGTAGTGGATTGCATGAACATCTTAACAGTATCCTCTAAAGTTGAGGATTGTGGCTTAGGTGGACCCACTATTTGTGGTGGAACTAGAGGATATGTCTGGTTAAAATTGGTGGGTCTAAATTGATTAGAATTTGGCATAGGTGAAAATGCATTATTGGTAGGTGATTGATTTCTCCATGAAAAATTAGGATGATTACGCCAATTAGGATTATAAGTATCACCAAATTGATTAGAGACAGGCTTACCAAAAGCATTCAACACATTAGCATGTTCAAAAGAATTATCAGAGTAAGAAGTCATATGAGGACACATAGAAGCATCATGCATTGTACTCGAACAAACAGCACAAATATCAGATATAATATTTTTAGAAGTTCCAATTGCCTTATTTGTCCCTAGAGCCTTGACTTCTTGTGCGAGATAATCCAATCTAGCCATTATATCCACATTATTACTCACTTCATATAAACCACTCTTTTTATTATTTTGGGTTGGCTTTTCCCTAGGATTAGAAAAGTCCCATTGTTGAGAACTTTCTGAAAGTGTTTCAAAGAAATTAAAGGCATCATCTTCACCTAAATTTAAAAATCCTCCACCATTCATTGATTCTACCATATTTCTATTAGATTGAGTTAAACCATTATAAAAATATTGCACCAACCTCCAATTTTCAAAACCATGATGAGGACACTTTAACAACAAATCTTTAAATCTTTCCCAAGTCTCATAAAATTTCTCATTTTCATCTTGATAAAAATCAGTTATTTGTCTTCTTAAAGCATTAGTTCTTGACATAGGGAAAAACTTAGCAAGGAATTTTTTAACCAAAGCATCCCATGTTCTAATAGATTGAGGAGGTAACGAATTAAGACAAACTTTTGCCTTGTCTTTTAAAGAAAAAGGAAACAATCGCAAGCGTACAGATTCTTCAGAAAAATTTTGAAATTTGAAAGTAGCACAAATTTCTAAAAAATCTTTAACATGCAAATATGGATCCTCATTACTTAAGCCATGAAAATTAGGTAAAAGATTGATTACCTGAGGTTTCAGCTCAAAATGTGTTGCAGTGGTAGTTGGCAAAACGATGCACGACGGTGGATTCGTTGACATTGGAGAAAATAATTCTCTCAATGGCTGGGGCTCAACTGCATCAACTTCTTCTGCCATTTTAGGATCTTCTATGTCCACGCTAATAAGACGATTTTTGTGATCACGGAGCCAAACTCTCATGCAACAACAAAAACTCTAAAAGGAAGGTCAGCAAACTTTTTTTTTATCAACTTTTTATTACTTTTTGTTTTTTTGTAATTTTTTTTATTTTTTTTTTAGCTTTTTTTTAAGATTTTTTTTAAAACAACTAGTAGAAGGAAAACTCAACTACAATCTAGAATTCAAATCTTTTCAAGTCCCCGGAAACGGAGCCAAAAACTTGTTGTGATATTTTATTTACTCGCAAGTGCACGAACCGTACGAAAGTATAGCAACGCAAATACGAGGTCGATCCCACAGGGACTTGATTATGTGAAGAATTTTATTCTAGATTCAATTAAATATTTCTAATCTAATTGGACAAAATTTAATATAAAAAAAACAACTAAATATGAAAGTGACTAATTTTAAAGAAATCTTAATTTAAACAAAAACTAAAGATTTTTCTAACTACTAAAAATTAAAAGATTAAAAATAAGTTTTCAAATATGAGAAAGAACTAGGACTTGGAATCCACTTATATATTAAAATGTAATTTTTACTCAATCATTATTTTTTCCAAACTTAATACACATGATAATCTCGCAACCAAGTCTCGTTATCATGGAGGATATATCAATTAAGCTCTAAAAAACAATTTCTAAAATTTGTTATTTTTCAAAGTTTCAAGAGAAATTCAAATCATTAATTGTATCTCATCAAGAAATCACAACTAATATCTGCTCTTTTAACTTGTCAAACAATTATCAGGATTATTCAAAGCATGAGAAACACATGATTGAACTCATCTAAAAATTAACCCTAATAATCAATTGGAAAAATAGACAATAAACATTTAAGATCAATATGGAAAAATAAATCATGAGTAAAAATCAAATAGAATATATAAATTTCATCCTTGCCCTAGCTATGGAGTTTTGCCAAACATAATGTAAAATTCAACAAGATTGATAGTAAAACTTGACATAATTAAAGAAGAAGGGAAGAATTAAACTCTGAAATTGGAGGAAGATGAGAAGCTGGAGCCGCTGAGGAGCCGTCGCCGCCGTTTATACCCATCATGTTTCTCTTTTTTTTTAAGTTTAATGTGGGTTGGATTGGATTGGATTTGTATAGCAATTGGATCTTGACTTGCACTTGGACTTTAAATCTTCAATCCATTAAAGTTTGGCCCAATTCTCCATCTCTTGAATTTAACATCTTTTTTTTATTCCAAAGAGTATATCTGAGAATACATATAAGAGAAATTAATTTAAACATGGAATAAAATAAAAACTTTACCCAACTTATGATTTTAGTGTAAAAATATAACAAGTAGCCTAAAAAGCCAAATATTTCATTATACCCTTTATTTTCACATCAAATGCATTAAAAATATAATAAAGAACTAAAGTATGACCAAATAAAATGTGACCATTTGTAATGTATCATGAGACTAGTGTGTTGGATGTTTGACGACTTGGTCTCATAGTCAATGACGGTGTGTTCGCATCCGCACATGGGCAGATTTTATCTAGAGATAATAGGATGCCGGACTAACCCATCCTAAAGATGTTGCTTGAACTTTTAGTTCATGCTCTAAGCATCTTTAGCGCGACCACGGGTGTAACTATCCTTCGACTTGAAGTATTACGTTTTCTGCATATGTGAACCCGCATGCTTTGATGCATTGTCCTAAGCCATATGAAATAAGGATGGTATACAGGCTTTGTTTTGGGTATGCCGCAGCGCGTATTCAGAAACGTAGATTACGTACATAGGATTTGTCACTACTCTTTTTAAAGAGATTAATGTCTTATGGGGCCACTGATAAGTTATGACTAAGGAAATTGCATGGCCATGCTGAGATGCTTTTATGACGTCTGTTCCTATTAGTCAGACTTGATAAATCAGTGAATGACTTAATGGATATATACAAGCTGGATTTTATTAATCCCTTGCATTAAGTTTAGACATTGAGACAAAGGGATACAGTTACACGGAGTCTGAGTCGTGGAAAGGTTTTGACGNTTTTGACATAAACTATTTAAAGTATATTTTTATACTTGTTTAAAAATGATGTTGGTATTTTATTTTATTTAAAATTAATTTTATATTAATTTTTGGTGTCAAATAAAATACACTTTGAACATTTTAGTGGAGAAGAATTTTGAAAATCCTTCTCACAATCACAAAGAAAGTTTTCGGCCATCATAAGGATTTTGAGAATCAAACTTTCCTTGATTGCTAATTAAGTGGCTAGTTAATTTTGTCATTTAGCTAATGACAATATAATTTGATTAATCATTTTGAATCTTTTGTTTTCTTTTTAAAAGGTTACACGGCACTTTGAAATAAAATAAGGGGTGAAGATTATCATTTTCATTAGTGTGTCATTCGGCCATATTTTTCTAGAGAGAAGAAATATTAGTTTGGTTCCATTAATATCATTTTGTGTATAGAAAATATCTATAATATTTTCTAAATATTATTAGAAATATGCACTTTCAACGCTCTTCCTACGACTTCTTCGTTTTTACCGCTTACGGAGAAATGTATAAATTTCTTACTACTATATGTTTTAGTACGTGATTCTGGGCAAGATAATCATGTTAGGATGTTAAAATTTTTATATTCCGCTGCCTATCCTTGCATGGTTACCTTTCATAGTGCAAATACAACTAACCGTCTAGAATTACAACACCAATCCTAGACCCATATACAATATTTAGGTACAAAGAAATCCCTCTAAATCCCCTAGTATAATTGGTAAAACTCCACCAGTAACCCACTAAGACCTTTTAGAATCAAGTGCCCGAACGTCACCAGAAGCTGCATCATTACCGTTAGTGACAACAAATAACTCGTCACTATCGTTGCCAAGAGAACTACTACCAATCGCTCCACCTACCAAGTTGGCATCATCTTCCGCTTACACTTCTTAGGACAATTATTCCTCATAATACGCCCGAGCTCGCCGCACTTGTAACACCGCACCTCATTCTTAGGTGCATTCTGGGACTTAGACCTCCCGTGCTTCGATCCCTAATCGATGCTAGACGAACGACCTCTCCCTCCACCATGAGCAAACACTGCAACTGCATCGATCATCACTCCTTACCCGAGCTTTTTCTTTTCTCCTCGCATCAAATGACAACAAGGTAATCGTGTCCTTGCCACACAAAATGGTATCCACATATATATAAGTCTCATAAGTGTCTGGTAGAGAGTTAAGAAGAAGCAGTGCCTGATCCTCCTCTTCAATTTTCACATCAATCTACTTCAACTCGTCTATCAATCTATTGAACACATTCATGTGCCCAACCAAGGTGTCATCATCCCCCATCCGCAAGCGATATAACCTCCGGTTCAAGAGAAGCTTGTTGGTCAAGCTTTTTTCGAAACACAGCTTTTCCAACTTCTCCCATATTGCCGCTGCCAGAGATTCCTCGTCAATAACACAATTAAAAACAGAATCTGCATTGCACAATTAGATGGTACTAAATAAAACACTTTTCGCACAACTCCTCCCAATCACCGACACTCTTAGACTCCGGCTTGCTTCCTTCATCTTGTTTCAGGGCTCTTGACAAACCCAGATGCATAAGTCTTGGGGTATCCCTCCTACATGGAGGAAGGAGTTCCTAAACAATACATTTAGTGTTAAAAATGTAATTTATTTAGAGGTGGAGTAATATAATAATAATAATATTTATTATTATTATTGTTATAAAGAAAGGAAAAGAAAGTGTGGTGGTGGGGCTACACTTACCTATTATTGGGCTACCACTTTTTGAAAGGGAATCGCCTTTCTTTGTTTTGGCTGGTCACGGGCAGAAGAGGGGCAGCCGCACAGCAGGAAACAGAGAGGAAAAATAGAGAGAGGCGAGAGAAGGAAGAAGGGAGAAAAAGAAAGGTGCTTTGTACTCCGATCGATGACCAAACGAGCTCCGATCGGGATGAAATTTTAGTATGTTGTTCTTGACATCCTCTTCTTCATATCCAACGGTGGGATTGTTGTTTTGACCTCTCGATGTCGGTAAAACTGCCTCTGTTTGCTGCTGCGTTTTTGTATGGGTTTTCTCACTTTTGAGTGAAGATTATTGTTGTTTGGTGTTCCAAGTTGTTGCTTGATGATTGTGTATACCTCTAATTGATTTAGAGAGGATTCTTGGTGTACCCACTGATTTTCTTGGTGATTAGTGGAAGGTTTCGTGGTTTTTTCCCGGATTTGGGGTTTCCACGTTAAATCTTGGTGTTCGTTTATCGCTTGATTGATTGCTTGTTGTTGTGTTTGCTATTCTTGATCGGTCATATGATTTTGCCCATTTTGACAACACAAAGAAGGGAAAATTATTAATTGCTTCCGCTAGAAAATTGAGGTGATTTTTCCAATAATGAGAAGATCCTTCATCCTTCTTTGTCAAAGCGTGAAGCTAGCTACTCTTTCCAATCAAACTTTGGCACGGCAAAGTGAGACCCGAAATCCGAACTTGACATGGTCAATGACTTCTAGAACCATCATCAGGACCAGACCACGGAATCTACGTACATCAAATATAGAGTCATTGAAAGAAAGTTTTTTGGCCAAGAGCTCACCATATCAAAGAGCCATCGCTTCAGCGGGGAGTCCAATCTGCCTCCTCCCATTCTCTCTTGCCAGGAGCGAACGCCATGCATCGAGCATCTCTTAAAACCACCCCGGCCAGCAGCGACCTTGCCGTTCTTTAAGATCGAAGGCATCGTCAGAGTTTACCTTAACGGTTGATCGATCCCAAAGGAGCAGTGGATCGGAGCACTCCATATGTATTTTGATGTCCCTGCCGCCCTAGCCCTACCGATGGGTTGCATATCATAGGCGTCTCCGCACCTTCTTTGCAACAATCATCACAACTTGGATTCTCTATAATAACATGTCGGCGGTGTAGCTAGGCTCTGACTTTGTGGCCTGGGTCCGTAGAAGGTAATGTTTGAAACAATACATCTTAATTATTGGAGTGCCACTTGTACGTGTGCCATATTTTTAATTTGTCCAAACATTATCCACGTTCTATGTATTGATTGGAGTGCATCCCAAGAAGTTAAGGTAGGCTGTTTTGACCAGTCCATATATCCTTAGAGATCGAAGTGCCACACATTGGGTGTTTGGGGTATTTCGAGTGCTCAAAGGGGGAGTCATATGATCGATAAGGTCGGCCACCATTATATTTTCCTTAGACGCTATTAGTGGGGTAGTTATAATATACTCCCTCCATCCCCTTTAAATCTTTTCAATATGACTTTTTATGATTTTTAAGAAATGGTGTATTATACTCTTTCGGTTCTACAAAACCCTTCCGGTTTTGACTTTGAAGAAAAATAAGGAAAGTGTAATTTTAGTTGATTTTCTAATTTTGCCCATGATGTGATCGGAAAAAGTGAGATGTGATGGTTTAGTTATTAGTAAAAAAGTATGATGTGATATGTAGGGTATGAAAAAGTAAGGGTAAAAGTAGTTTTTTAATAGAAAATGAAAGTGTTTTGTGGAAAGCAAAAAAAAAATCGAAAGAGGAAGGATTTTGTGGTACGGAGGAAGTATTATGTAGGTGAGGTCTAATGAATAAATGAGTGGTGTATTATACAGTATTATGTAGGTGATGTGTAATAAATAAAGTAAGTGAGATAGTTGTGCTATTTAAATTGTTAAAAAAAGTAATGAGAAGATCTATTGGAAACAAATAAAAAGGATTATTCGGAAGATATGAGGAGTACCTCCTATTATCGTCGGCCACCCACTTGTCTTTCCAAAAGTTATAAGTTGATGCGTCGGCCATCTCCCACCGGCCAACATAGGACCGGCCTCCATCCATCAAGAGCCATTTTGAAGCCCATATGCTGATCCGCCATACATAGCTAGCTCTCATTGGTTTCACGATATGACTCCAGAAAGACGAATGTGGAAAATCTTTCTTCTCGAGGACTCTTCCCGCCAGTAGTTTGGGTGGGTAGGGTAGCAAATAAGACGCCATGATTGTTTTGCAACCATTGCTAGAATAAGAAGTACATCAACTTTCTTATATCATGGATAAATTTGTTTAAATTACTTAGATTTTTTAAAGGATCCAAAATTACAAGATTTATGTGCATTTAGATCAGCGGACCACAACTTAATTAGAGCCTGTTTTTTAAGACTAGAAAAAAAGAGCTGAATGTTTGAAGAACTAGAAGAAATTTCAACGAACTGGAAGAAACTGTAATAAACTGGAAAGAACTGAAAGGATTTGGAAGAAACTAGAAAAACTTTAAAAAATTTATTTAGTGTATATTTATATTATTCTCATTCTAATTCTTGTTGTTATAAATTATTATTACCGGAGTATAATCATTTATATATTATTATTATTATTATCATCACGTTATCTTAATGAATGCTTTTAAGATTGAAAAAAAGTATTGTTCTTTTTCATACAAAAAAAACTACTTTTGAAAAAAAATAATTATAATATTTTGTTAGCATAAATATCAAAATGTTAAATTTTAAAAATTTATTGTTGTTACGTTGTACCACAAATTATTTATGCAGTATTTATTATAATATAATATATTTGTAATTATACTTTATATAATATAAGATTTTTTTTAAATATCAAATATGTCACATAATGTAATTAAACCTATTTTTTTCTTTTATGATTGACATTTTATTTTCATTGTAACTCATATTTTTGGAATAAAGACATAGAAATTTTATTTTTGTACATTTTTTAATGTTCTACTCCTATTTTAGTCTTTTCCTCTAAACTATTTTGAATTTCAATTTTTTTTATAAAAATTAGAAATATGAAAAAAAAAATTAATTTTTGAAATAAATAAAAATGAGAAAATTTGAGTAATTTTGGGGGAAAGATGATGGGTCTTATATAAAGTTAGATTAATAAAAAATTCTATGTAACTATTTTATCCATAATTTTTTAATATAGTTTAAAATATTGGCGTTTTCCTATTTTAACATGTAGAATAATATACAATTTTTTATTCATATTAAAAGGTTGACGAAAAAATAATAATGAGTGTGAATCATTAAAATAGTGAAATGAAAAAAATAATTTATAATGAATACAATAGTTGTAATAATAATAATAATAATAATAATAGTAATAGTAATATTAATAATAATAGTAATAATAATAATAATAATAATAAAAATAATAACAATAATAACAATAATAATAATAATAATAATAATAGTAATAATAATAATAATAATAATAATAATAATCCTATTAAAAGTATATCGTTTTCAGAGTAATTGGTTGGGAGTAAAAAAAGTTTAATGAAAATGAGAATAGTTGAAAAAAACTAGAAGAAGATGGAAAGAACTGAAACGATCTGGAGAAACTGAAAATTAAAAATTTAATTTCTTAGTCAAATCAAATCAAAGCTAAGTTAAAGATAACAAAGCCCATGTTACTCCGTACATTTTAGGGGTCTTTGTATCGACGCACATTCTTATACTCCACATGCATTTTGGCATTTTAATTTTGCATACACATAAGACATTAGAGCAACTCCAAATGATCATCTAAAATTCAGTAAAGTGTAAAATTTGAAAGGTATAGCACTTACTGTACATAAAAACGAGCTCCAACGGGTAAGTCATAAAATAAAGTGATTGCTATTTGTTCTGTTTCGTCTTCTATATTTGAAAGCTGGCCTTGCATCTGCTATCCATCTATTTCTTCTTTGATTTCCGATTCTGCACCTTTTGCTTCTTTGATTTCTCTTCAAATAGCAATGGCTTCCGATTCTACTGCTTCTTCTTTTTCTTGTTCGAGCCTGTTGATTTTTTTTTTGAAATACCTAGGGCTTGTTTTTTCTTGTTACCTTCGGTTTTAGATCTAGTACTTATGCTTCTTCATCTTGCTCGAATTTCTTCAAATAGTTAGGGCTTTCTATTCGTTGCTCTCACCATATCTGATTTCCAGTTGCTGATTTTTTTACACTATGTTTGGCTCAAAGATTTTGGAAGGAAAAGAAAATAAAATGGTTTTCTCTCATTTTCCTAACCAAAATGGAAGGAATTTGATTTTCCCTCCACTTGGTACATTTTGCCTCCTCATTTTCTTTTCCGTCCACTTTTCCTTTCTTTTCCCCTCTAACCAAACAAGAAAAATGGTTTTCCACTTCGTTTTCTTTTCTTTTCCCTTTCAAATTCCTTGAACCAAACATAGTGTTAAAAAAATTGAGGTTTTATTGGTGGTTGATAGTGAATATAGATGATATGGTTGGAGTGGATGGAGAAAAATAAGCTGTAAAAACACTATAGAAAAGCTAAAGAGGCAAATAGAAGATAAAAAAATAGAGGATGGTTGGAGATGCTCTCATAGACCTCACGAAAGCAATAAATTTTACTGTTTAGTTAGTTCTTTTATAAATTTCTTTATGCGAGAAAATCCAAAATGCAACTTGAGTTTTTTGCTTTTACCGGAGTATTTTTTTCTGAGCGTGCAACATGAGAATACATGATAAGACTATTTTAGCACTAATTTTAGATTTCATGGTTCCGCAAGCTCGCCGGGTACAATGTCAGGTTCTAGACTATTACGGAGTAAAACTTTAGGATTTAGATTGTTTTTTCTTTTTTTTTTCATATAGGATTTTTAAACTTTTTGGTACAATTTCATATGGGACACGGTCATGTCGACTAAGGGGGGTGTATTCAATTAAGAGTTTATAGGATTTCTTAAGATTTTCAAAATCAGAAAGTATTCAATTTGGATTTTCAAAAATCTTTTAAAATTTTGAGGTATTCAATGTAGATTTTCTTAAGTCTTTAAAAATCATGGGGTATTCAATATAGATTTTAAAAACTCTTAAAAAATCTCTAAGTATTCAATAATCCATGATTTTTAAAACTCCATGGACTTCGTTGGATTCTTTTCCAAAATTTGCCTATCTAAAATCCCTTCTTACAAGGCCAGATTTCTAATTTTCCACTGCAAAAATTGACAATTTTGGCTGAGATGGGAGGCACTGATTTCTGGAATTTCATCTTCTTGTCTCACCAGTCGGTTTCATCTTCCGTTCTCACCACTTCGCAGATTTATTGTGGCTAATATCTGGAATTTCATCTTCGTGCCTGCAATTTTTAGACCTTCGCCTATTTCTTTTGCTAGGTTTGATTTTTACAACTTCGCCCATTATCATTGATGTTCATAGCTATTGGATTGTTCCAGGCCATTGTTCATTTTCACTCCCAGGTGTATTTGTTCCTTTTATTTCCTTTACAACTTTGTTATGGTGTTGTGAGATTTGGAGAAAGATAGCTTTCTAATGGGGTTGTTCTTCATATTTCGAAGATGAGAAGACGAAGGGTAGGAGCATTATGCAGAAGAGTTCCGCTGGGGTTTGAAGATTCTAAAGAAATTGGAATTCATGGAAATCTTTTAAAATCTTTCTGATAAAATACATTAAAATCTACCTAATTCTGCATAGACTTAAAACAATCTATTGATTTTACAGAATCCATGAATTTTAAACAATCTATTATAATCTTCTAAAATCTGAATTGAATACACCCCCTAACTTTATTCGGGGTAAATATTCTCAATTTATACTTTTGTTTAGATTTGCGTAACTTATGTTTTAAATGATGAAGTAAAAAAATCTCGTCTCACTTCGAACAACATGCGGAATCTCACCTTTTTTTAAAATTATTTTATTCACAAATTGACATAGAAAAAAACACTCTCTCCGTCCCAAAAAGTCTTTCCTGTTTACTATTACGGCCTCTCGATTACTCTTATTTGTTTGTGTGTTTTCATTAATCATTTGATAAAATAAAATATTCTTGTCACCTCTTATTTTGTAGAGTTTTCGATGTAGTTTTTTAATATAATTTTTTTGTGTAATTTCCTTACCAATTTGTAAATAAAATTATTTTAAAATTCACGGGATTTTGCACGTTAATCAAAGTAGGAAATTCTTTTTGGGACGGAGAAAGTATAAATTACATACTCCCTTATACCCCAGCTTTCGATCCACTTTCATTTTGACACAAAAAACAAAATAATGGGTAAAATGACTCCACTAATGATTCCCTCCGCCATCGTAGCTTCCTTGAACTTCCCCAGCCTATTCCCTCTGCCACCTCAGCACCAAATCCATCGTCATCCCGACGTTCTCCGCCATCTACATGCTGTCCAGCCACCACCCAGGTCACGCCAATTTCAAAGTAAAAAAAAAAAAAACTAGCTAGAGTACGGACTGGCTTAGATGAGAGAAGCCAATCAAGTATAAATGACAAGGGTAAAATGGACATTTCATATTGTTTTTCTGGCCTTAATAGGAAAGTAGGCAAATAGGACATCCCTAATAGGAATACTGAAAAAAATACTGGGGGATGGAGGGAGCTACCTCTATGGAAAACACCCGGTTGTATAGTATTATCCGTTGTCCAACAATTTGGCATGAACAAGAATATACCCCTAGGACATGGATCTGCCCCTTGTTGGAAGACAGACGTGGTTTCTCTTGCGAGCATGTTCTTCGTTATGGTGTTGTGTCCGACACGCATACCCGTACCAGCAGTCTTCCCTCTGTGAGTCTTCCTGCGTCATACACTGAAGAAGCTAAAACTTGTATTAGAAATCTAAAAACCAAAGTTTAGGGGTCTGTTTGGTCAGTGTATGATTTTGCCTCAAATTGCTGAATCATCTGAACCCTCTCTTATAGGTATCCAAAAGAATAATCAAAGAAAAACTTACATGCTTAAGCAACTTGACCCTAAACCAGTACAAGAGAAATGCAACCACTTTCTCGTAGCACTCACTGCAGTACAAGACCACCAAAATCATTAGATTAGATTAGATTAATCAATCACCCCGGTCATATGCAAAGAAACAAAACCAGACTTAACAGGAAATCCACATGAAAATGTTTGGGGGTTTAGTACTCTGACCTACAACAACATGTACGAGAAGTTATTGTCTGAGCATGGTTCAGCGCCATTCTTGTTCGATCTGAAGAAAATACGAACCGACGAAAAATTTTTATATTGTGAACAGATCATTCTAATGCACAACACATTGGGTATACAGATCTTTACATGTACAGAAATATCTTAGACTTAAATACTACCGAGTTTCAATATAAAGTTTTCAAGTATTACCTATTTGCCCATTATCGAACTTCACAATCCAGTCGCAGACCACATCTTGCAAGGTCTTACCCATCTTTGCAATACATCTTTCTGTGATCTGTTATTGACATGAAACACACAGTAAAAGCACGCGTGAGTGAGATGCCATTGAAGAGTGGCATGCGCAGTCCATTAATTAGATATATTTAGATTTTCAAAAATGAGTCATTGCCTCCTGCTCATGCCGGTTACTCTCATGTGTCAAAGATGGGATTCTAGTAATTGTGCGTTCTTGTATCTGTGAAAAGATCGATTAGAAAACACTTAAAAGCTGAGTAATACATAACCATAAATCTGATATAAAGATGGAAACTGAGATTCGAAGCTTAAAAAAAATAACAGGGAAATTAAAGTATTGGTTTGGAAGTGTTACAGGTTTGAATGTTTCAGGACTGCAAACAGGGTGCAAGTCACTTTCAGTAACTCCCAGAGCATGCCAGTAGGCAGCACAAAATGCTCGATCACATCCCACACCTGAAAAGATGACAGCTTCAAACATTCCCACTAGCCTGAACTCATTAAGCCATGGAGAATATAATGTTCTTGATTTGTTTTTAATCCATCCCTACAAATAGTACTTTTTTTCTCATTTGGTAAAAGTATTAGTCTTACCTTACCCCTCACCACTATTAATTATTTTCCACCACATATTAAAGGGGTAATAACCGTTAAGGAAACTAATAGTCTACTACGGAGTACTATAGAATGGTATAGAAAAGATAGCACACAAAACTTTGTAGGCAGCAGTGATGGGTTCAAAATGTAATTACAGTTTTGTGGTACACCAATATTTGTTCTTAGAGGCATCATCCCACCACACGCTTGGCACTGTAAATGAACTGTGCTTCGGTTACACTGGAACCCTCGAATCTCAGTGCCTGAGAGTTTCAAACAAGCAATTAAATGTTCAAAATTGAGAAGTTAATGTTTGGTTCCTAAATTATGGAGATTCAAATGACTATATATCCATAACTCGCGAACAAAAATGCAGTTTTGCCTTATAAAACTATAGAAGAGGCATGTGAAAGCAATGATCTTGAAGAGGTGCACCCCTTAGGTTGACAAAACAAATGCTGATTACAAAAATAAATTGTAAAAGAATTGACCCCGTTGCATAAAGCGAACGCTAATATTACTTCACCTTATGAATTTAGATAACTAAAAAATTGCCGCTTCTAAATATATAAAAAACAATAAACCACTAAATCAACCACAAGTTCGAAGACAACAATAGTTGTAGGGTTATTGTTTGAACTTTGAAGACACTTTGTACAAAGAATGTATGTCTTATGTATATCTTGTGTGTTTGATAGCTTTATGTGGTGTACCACACGACATGCACATTTATAGACCCTTTTAGTTATATAGGATTATGGGTGTTGTGTCATGAAAATGCAATGATCACTTTAGTCACAAAAAGGTGTGTGTCATTTCATGTAGTAAGTTGTTAGATTGACACCATAGTTTCAATGTAGTCCATGGATATGTGTGTTTTCATGATTTTGATAGAATAAGAATCAGGGAAAATGTCATTACCACATTGAACACATGGAAGATCCCATGTACTGGCCTCCTCTGACGGAGAGTGCACCCTCTTCTTTTTGGATTTTTTCCCACTGTTAAGAACCTGCTACTTGAGGTTAGCAACAGACGATGAAAGAATCCATTAGCTACTAACCTTCCATTGTTGAATATGCCAAACATTTTTTGTTCCAATATACCATTTAGTTATTCATTTATTTTGTTGATCATTCAACTACGATTTGGCATTCTATTTGAATGCCCAAAGAATATTTGATTTAACTACTTACAAGTGGTGATTTTATTGAGGCAAAAGACTCTATAAGTTTGATGTCCTCGGAGGGACGCTTCAGAGAGGGATCAGCTTGCAGTATACTCTGAAAAAGCATGGCATCCTCTGTTTTCATCAAACAAAAGGAAAAACACAAAAAGAGAGGAAAATCTGAAGGAAGATAAACTGTGATGTAACCTAGAACAGATCAAGTATGAATGGTGCATGAAATGCATCAGAAAAACAAGAGGCGTCGTTGGTTGGAAGAATTGAATAAACAGTACTCCCTAAAATATTAGCACTACAAACAAACATAAATAATACTCCCTCTGTCCCATAATATTGTTCTAGATTCGGATTACGATGTTTGACCAAAGTTATTTTCAATTCAATTTATATAAAGATTGAAGTAGAACTAATAGATAAAGTTTATATATTCAAAAACTACTTCAAAAGTTTTACAAAACAAGTGGCGACAATACTTTTATTTTATCAAATGATCAATAAAGTAGGTAAAGAAAGTACATATAGTTTGACTCCGTAAATAGTAAGTGGATTATTATTATGGGATGGATGGAGAATAACATCTCACACTTGAAACTGCAACATATAATGACATACTAAAAGGATACTATAGAAATCAAATGACGACCAAACTACTGAGCATTAAGTGGAAAGAGAGTAGGAGAGTTCTCTGAACTGCATAAACATATCTGATGTTCTTTTTTTATAGTTACAACATTCAGCGCGGTAGGCGCTGTAACACCCTTTGCATCATCTGCTTTTGTGTGTGCTACTGACGGAAAAGGTGTTATAGCACTCTGTTTGATTTGTTTGCATAAACTACTGAGCATAAAGTGAAATGAGGAAATATGCAAGACCAACATAAGCAATGGAGTGAAAGATAAATTACATTCTCAATGTTATGCAAGAAGGCATTTTTCCCTACAAACTGAATGACAGCTCTACACTCAGGACATTTAACACTTGAATGTTTCTCTTGAGATCTCCTTAGCCACTCTGAAAAGCACCCATTACTGGGGAGAATAGACATCAAGATATACAAATAATCATACATACAAGTTTGGATGGAATTATAATCAATCTTAAGACTGAAATACAAACCAAAAATTGTGAAGACAGGGTGCAACGGTGACAACATCATGCCATATGTTTAAGCAAATGCTGCATTTTGCATGTTCTACATCAACAGAGACCTATGGAAAGCACCCATATATTGAAACTCATTAACAGTACACATCAGGAAAATAAATGTAAAAAATGCCATAATTTAAAACACAATGACAGACCACATCAGGAAAATAAATGTAAAAAATGTGGGCGTTTCTGTTTTGCCAAAGTAGTGATGAATTGATGATATTTACCTTTAACCGTTTGCAAGGTTCCTCTGCAGGCATTATCTCAAATCTGTATTTTAAAGAACCTAATGACAACAAACACAAGAACAGAAAGTGAATTATCTATATAAGTAATAAAACACATTACCAAGATAACTTCCGGCCTTTTGGTATCAAAACATAATCTAGTACTATCAGTAATAAGTTCCAGTTAAGACCCTCAAAAAAAGAGCATGGCAGGCATAAGATTGGAACAAGGAACCAGCAACAACACTTAGATGCAAATATGCAATTAGCAATTAACTAGAGCAGATCATGTAGAGGAGGTTGAGTTGCCAAATAACACTTACTCCCTCCGTCCGGAAAAGAAGTTACCATTTCTCCTTTTTCTCCGTCCGGAAATAAAGTTCACATTTCAATTTTTAATACACAAACTACCCTAAATACCCTCACCCATTATTTGCCTAATTTCCTCTTTTTCAAACCGTTCTCCTTTTTTCTCGATTGGCATCTTCTCCCTCGGTCTACCACCACTTCGATCTTCTTCTCCTCCCTCTCTCTCTCTCTCTTCCCCCCACCACCCCCTCTTCTTTTCTTCTTCTCCTTTCTTCTCCGTTCTTTTTTCTCAATCAGGACCTTCTCTCTCTATCCTCCCTCACTTCAATCTTCTTCTTCTTCTCTCTCCCTCTCTTTCCTAGTCCCCTTCTTCTCCTTCTTTTCGTCTTCTCCTTTCTTCTCCGTTATTTTTTCTCGATTGGCACCTTCTCTCTATCTTCTGCTTCATTCCCGGCCAGATCTGCACCATATCTTTTGAAATTTCTTGTTTTGCTTCTCCTCCTCCGCTTAGATCTTGTTAAAATTACATTTGATCTTTGCAGGAGGCGGTGAGCGGGTCAGCTCTGTGGTCAATTGAACTTCACCTCCTCGCAGATCTGCTTCCTCGGAAAGCTCCTGCCAGTTCGGTTGGCGGGTGGAGCTGATGGTGGTGGTGTGGGTTGGGTCAATGGTCAGGCTGACTCCTTTAGATCGGGCTGTCGTGCGACTGATTGTGATGTTGGAGCTGGGGCGATAGGGAGCTGGCGGTGGTTGTGTGGGCTTAGGTGATGCGGTGTTGAGACTTGAGATAATAGGGAAGGATGAGGGAAGGGCAGGAGGGTGTTGTGGACATTTCCATCCCAAAGTCAACACCCAATAAAAATGACCAAAAGTCAAATTGGGTACTTCTTTTCCGGACGGAGGGAGTAAAATTCAGCAAATTCTATTCCACGACAGGCTCATTGGAACACAAATGTACAAATTATGTCCATTGGGTTGTGAAAAAATCAAAAAATTAGAATTATTGAAGCGAGTTTGGTAAACCATTACCCTCGGAAGAAGAAAGGCTCAGAGCAATTTCACTGCCACACTTGATCGTCCTAGTTTGTTCATCTAGAAGAACCGCCTCATCAACAAGAATCGTGTTGGAACTACATGACAATAAATTCCGGAAACATAAAGAGCTCTTCGATCTTTACAAAATAATGTTTACATATTTGTGTATATCTATGTGTGTAAATGGATATAAGAGGAAAGCATGAAAGCAAATGAGGTTGTATAGGAATTTAAAGTGTGTATATAGGAATATTCATATTTTAAGCTCTTTCAATCTTTTGTTATACAAACTTTAAGGCCAGATAAAGTTTGAATCAAAGGTGATACCCTCAAAATAAACTACAGCTCTTATATGCAAGCCTGCAGTTATTTATTACCTGTACTGCAGGTATTTATTACCTGTACTAGTCATTCAAATGCATATCAAATTATCATACTTAGCAGATACAATATCAAGGACTTGACCCTATTACACTTGAAGTTTGTCGTTGAACTTTTGACAGTGCAATAGCAAAAAATCTTAAGAAAAGTAGTTTTCTGTATGTTCCAACATGGTTTCACAATTGAGATGGGATATGTTCTGATATTCACGAATATGGCACCTGATGTTATAACTGAATAGCACTTCAAACCCGTCACAAACTTGATGTTATAATATGAATATGATCAAAGGTGTCATGACTCATGAAAAGGATCAACAGTGTCAAACACATGGAGAAACACTACCTGATATTTTGTATGGTTGCAGAAACCAGATCCACACCTCTTTTGATTTTGCACCATGCTTGCTTCTCCAAAGATTTAACCTTTGAGCATATCACTGTCTCATTCAACTTCAGCTCAATCTCTGAATCACTTGCATCCACAGGTACTATAGGGAAACATGAGACAAGCCAGGGTATGTGTACTATCAAATACTTTCTTCTTTGTTTTAGACTTTTAGTATATGACCACAAAGGTAAATATTAAATAACAATAAATTGGATTTCTTTAACTACGAATACTACGCTTGACTCGTTCAATATGACCAAATAAAACCTATAATAGAAACACCAAGCTTTCGAGGTTTATTTGTAGAGTTTTGAGTCTTCATTTTCAAAATGATTTCAATGCGTACAAGAAAATCGACTCTAGATCTGTTTGATTTATTCCCCAAAAAGTCCAATTCCATACATACCCACACGGACACACCACACACAAAAGTAAAAAGAATTATGAAATGCAGTGCATGGAACTTTTGAAGGAGTAATATTATGAATTTTAAAAAAATCACTTGTTTATGTATGCACTTGAAAATATTATAGGGTTTTGGAAGATTTAATAGGAGTCTTTTGGAGGGTAATTGTTGATATCCGTTTTAGATTTGTGAGGTTTTATAAAATTGAATAAATGAATAAGTACTCACATAGCATTTCATTTTCACAAGACTCTTTTTTATTTATTCTATTTTAGGAACCTTATTTTAACAAGACAAAGTGTCCCCCTCCATCCCGGCATTTTGTTAGTCTCAAATTGTTTAATATTTGTTCATATTTATCAGCGTATGAGATAATTGAATTACAGAACAATCAAAACTCTTTCACTGTCATTCATGCTGGAATTCAATATGGGTCAGAAAAAATCACAGATTTTTCATCAAACCCAGTGGTAGAACAAGAATATTAAAAAAAACAGTAAAAACATTCTGTAAATCAAGACCTCTTGATTCAAATGATATTTTTTTCATTTCCATCACTCTTTACAAAAAAACAAAAAGATGAAAAGGAGTAAGTGAATGAAAAAAGTTTAACGATTCCGAATATTACAGCAGAGTAATTGTTCAAAAAAACCAGGTTCAAGAAAGCACAAAAGATGCAAATCTTTAACCCAGTTTAGTATCATGATGGATAGAAAGAAACAGAACGCTTACTGAGTCTGGCCCAGATGACGTTATTGCTTGAAAAGCTAGAGCTTTGCCCCAATTCCATGTTTTTCCTCTTCTGTAACAATGACAGTTGCGGGGGTTCGGAATGTGGAATCTAAAAGTCTGTGTCCACTTTCATTTTGGCTCAAATACCAAGAAGAAGGGAATAAATGAAGGAAGTTACTAGAATCCCAGCCTAAGCTTCGATAGAGAAGAAACTTTTGAAGGGGAATCTTTGAATGGGCTACGGCAATCGAGACACCACACCTGCAATCGAGAAGCTACGGCGGCGATGGAGTAGGGATGCCGGCGGTAGAGAAATGCGGGCGGCTAATCTGTCTCCGATTTCTGAGAATCAAGGCCGCAAGCGAGAAGTGACGTCGACTGTAGAGAAGAGACAACGGCAATGGAGGAGTGATGGGGTCGATTGAGAAGTGACGGTGGCAAACCTATCACCAGGTGGATACTGGTATATCAGTTTTTTATTTTGGGAATTAGTCCCGTTCCATTCAACTTATTTTTTCTTATTCTTATTAAAATCAGATCTGATTAGATCAGATCAGACCAGATCAAATCAAATTAGATCAGATCAGATCAGATCTAATAAGATCAGATCTAATCAGATCAGATCCAATCAGATCAGATCAGGACTTATTAAAATCAGATCCCATCAAGAATTATTATTATTATTATTATTGTTGTTGTTGTTGTTGTTGTTGTTGTTGTTGTTGTTGTTGTTGTTGTTGTTGTTATTATTATCATCATCATCATTATTATTATTATTATTGTTCTTAAAAATGAAAAATAATAAACTTTAGAAATAGGTTAAATAGAAAACTGAGAAAGTAATCCTTAATTATTAGACGTCGGAAAAATTAGTTTTAAAATACATTGACAATGTCAATCTAATTCTACTTTTAAAATATATTTTTATTGTTACTTGTAATTTGAGTTTCTAAACTTTTGATCTTTTATAAGGATGAGATATTTTAATAAAAATACTATCTCTTCTATATATTGATTATCTAAATTTAATAACTTTTTAATGTATATCTAAATTAAATATTTATTCTGATCTATAATTCTAATTTTACAAAAAAATAATCATAAAATAAAAATATTATTACATTATAATATGAATAATTATTCTAATATATGAATTAACTATTTTTATTTTATTAAAAAATAATCATTAAATAAAAAAATATTGATTATATTATAATATGAATTATCATTACAATTTTCAAACGTTATTATAAAGTCAAATTAAATTATTAATTTGAAATTTTAAATTATATCATAATTAATCAGATCAGATCAGATCCAATCAGATCATATCAGATCCAATCAGATCAGATCAGATCAGAACTTATTAGAATTAGATCAGATTAGAAAAAATAAGTTGAACGGAACGGAGCCTTAAACCATAAATAGTAAATAGTAGGTCCGTGAACCTTCTGTTTGTGAACGACTGAACGTAGCATTAGCCGACATGGAATGCTTTCCAAGCAGGCAAGCATTAGATGCTTATGCTTGGGGAAAGCATTGGTTGCTTCCTTTAAATTGATATATCACTTACAAGAAAAGAGGTGTAAAAAAGTGAATTTTTGGAAACAACCCCACTGTAAGAAAATAAATTATCAAAGTGATTTAAATTTAAAAATCAAAGAGAATGATGCGGATAATTAAAAAACTAAGATAGCATTTAAGGATGGAGATGCTCTAACATTGAAGACTGGTTTTCTATCCCGTGATTTGCACGAGCTGGAAAGTTGTGCACACGTTTATTCTTTGCAATGTTGATTTAAGGTGTTGTACATTTGAGAAAGTTGTAGACTAATCATTTGCTTAAAGTATACTATGAGTATGAGTTTGCCTGCTATTATAAATGTAAAAAGTGGAAAATATTTTATAAATATTTGTAAGTTTCATAATGATGTCTATATGTATGCATTTAATGTTTGGAAAGTTTGTTCATAACTACAACGAACTTCTCATCTTTGTTTTTCAAACCAAATTAACAAAAATTATAATTAAATACTTTTTTGAATATATATATATATATATATATATACATACACACATACAAAATTATTTTTATACTATCCACAACTTATTTTAGTTTATTATTTCTCAAAAATGATTGTATAAATTTAATCACATGTGCATATTTATTAATTAAATATTTTGTTTCAAAAAATTTATCTTACTACATTATTTATCTTATTGCTACATATATTTTTCAACAAAGTGAATTGTAAAAATTCCGGCGGGCTGAGAACAACGGATAGAGTGTCGGGTAAAATTAATCACTTGCATATAAAGTCAGGATCCACAATTCTAACTCAAAAGCTTAAGTATAGCATCTCAATCTCTTATAGCTAGCCCACACAACGGGCGGTGACATCTCAATCTCTTTTTAGCCAACTCAGCCCAAACCAACCAAGAACAATCAAACCCGGATCGGACTGATACCATGTAAAAGTTTCGGCGGGCTGAGAACAACGGATTGAGTGTCGGGTAAAATTGACCACTTACGTATAAAGTCGGGATCCACAATTCTAACCCAAAAACTCAATCTGATGGGTAGGGCTTCACCGTTCTATATATGCTAGTGATACTCATCTTTATTTTCCGATGTGGGAACTCCAACATGAATAGAATAAAACTGATTTGAGTAAAGAGTGACAACTGACAAGTCAGATTATGACACATATATATACATTCTCTAATGATGTATCATTATGTATGTAACTAATCCACTTTTAATTATAATATTTTATTAATTCAAACCATTTCTATTTGTACTTAATTCAATGATCATTAATTTTGTACTCCCTCCGTCCCCCTGTATTTGTCCACTTTCATTTTTACACACTATCCAATGCACTTCTTTAATCCATTTTATCTTGTAATTTGTATATTAAAAAATTATAAAAATTATATATTAATAATCTATATGTTAAGACAAATCAAACAAGATCACACATGACTATATTTAGGCTTACACATTGAGAGAATTTGATGAGTCAAAGTGATTAGATGAACAGTTCCAAAAGTCAAATATGGACAAATACAGGGGGACGGAGGGAGTATAATTTTTTTGCTTTTAAATTAACATACTGATATATATTCCATCAGTCTAAAACATATTTTATCACTATTAGAAAACTAAAACAACTAAAATTATATTTTGTAGAATCTCAAAAGTTTAGAATATATACGAATCCGTGCGAAGCACAGGATAAACACTAGTATTTCGTATAAAAGATACTCCCTCCGTCTTGGAGTATTCGTCCAGTTTTGACATTTGGAACTATTCATCTAAGCATTTTGACTCATCAAATTCTCTCAATATGTAAGCCTAAATATAGTCATGTGTTATCTTGTTTGATTTGTCTTAACATATATATTATTAATATATAATTTCTATAATTTTTAATATACAAATTACAAGAGAAAATGGATTAAAGAAGTGTATTGGATGATGTGTAAAAATGAAAGTGGACAAATACTCTGGAACGGAGGTAGTACTTTTGATTTTAATTTTTTGGATACGTTCCTTATGTAGATTTAAAATATGAAAAAGTATTTATGTGTTGTTTCTAGAAAAGGTAAAATTGTAGGATGGGAGAATAAAATGTTTTTTTTACGGTAGGGAATAAGTGTTAATTACACCGTGTTTGTTTTTAAGTAGAGAGAGATAGAGAGAGGTAGATTTAATAATAGGACCATGCTACATTTACACCAAAAAATATATCTCATTTGTACACCGCCACCATAGGTTTGCACAAACATTTCGATGGTTTACACCGACACAAGTGTTGGTGCGTTAATAAAAATTTACACAGACACAAATGTTGGTGCGTTTAACAAAAATTAGTTTTACACCAACACAAAATGTTGGTGCAAAATTGAGGGGTACAAATTGGGATACAAATCTTGGGGTACACATAACATAAGACTTAATAATATGGTCAATTCTGCCATAAACCCTGCATAGTTAATCTCTTTTCTGTTTCAATTTTGATCGCCATCTGCTACTCAAGCGCTGCTCAATTCAGATTGTTTTTAGGTGCTTATTTTTGTTCTGCGATGGACTTCAATTTCTATCGCCATCTGCTGCTCCTTCTTTGCTTTTTTTTGCACTTCAATTTTCACTCTTTTTTTTCAATATCCAGATTTTTTTTCACTTTTTTTCGTTCTGCTCTACTTCAATTTTCATTTTTCAATTTTTCTTTTTTTCACTTTTTTTGTTTCTGTATATTTAGCTCTAGGGTTAATTAATTGCTGTAGATTGATTTATCTAGTTAACTATGCAAGAAGCAGTTTATCCTTTTTCACATTGTCATATGGAACACAATATTGCAACATATGACTTTTTTTAATTTTCAATTTGTATTTTTTATGCTTCGTGAACCACTTTTGATGCCAAAATACTCAAATGGATTTTTTAAGAAGTTTTGCCTTTGACATGAGTTATTTCCTTGTGAAATCAATGTCTATGTTTTTTGATGTGTGGAAGAATAATATGGTTGATGTTTTTATTATGAAATGCATGACAACTAAATTTTGATCACATGCATTTATATAAGATGATATTACTTAGAAGTTTTGTCTAAGAGTGTTTATTTAATTTTAAAATTTTACATTTGAAATTTAAATAAATTCTAATAAATTAAATTAAAAAAATGTTTAGAATTGATGTAAAAATAATTTTGTATATATATTTTACGTATGCATATAAAAGTCCGTACAAAAGAATATAATGTGAAAGGTAATTTCATATAAATACATCCTAAAAAATAAAGAAAAACAGCCACAAGGATATTTTGGTAATTTTTTCTTTCTCTACCTCACGTTACCTAATAAACATCCAAACACAAATTTTTAACTCATTACCCTACTTTATCTGCCTTCAATTCTCATTCTCTTTGATTGATTGTGATTGAGGTTTTTGGTCTAATCTTTCGTTTGTTTTTTGTTGCTGGCCTAATTTACCGTATACGGAGTAAAAGCTATCAACACAATTGGGGGTTGCTTCCATGGAGCGACCACCATGGAGCAGTCGGTTGAAGACTCTGTCTAAGAAGCTTTTGGAAATAGAGAGGGAGTTACATCTTCTGGAGCCACGGTCACATGAGGAAGGCAAGAGTTCATCAAGTGGTGTTTCTAATTTTCATTTATCAGGCGGCCTAGGCGAGTCATCTTCAAGAGATGTGCAGGCGTTCTATGAAGACGAATACCTGGAGCGATCACCAAGGACGAGTCGCTCGAAGACTCTTTCAAACTTGAAGAAGAGGGTTTCTAAATTAGAGAAGGATATGTCTGTAATGAAGAGGCGAAAGCTCTCGAAGAGGTTTTGGTCAGACGTCCGTAAAGTATCGTTGCAGATTTTTGAATTGGAATCCGAGAGCCAGGAGTTGTCTCATAAGGATGGCTGGGGTGTTTCTAATTTGCCGTCATCAGAGGGGGATATGCCTGAGTTTGATGAAATCCCATCTGCCCCAACCCAGGCTGCTGGTGATGTGGAGGTATGTGATGAGAAGGAGAATAGTGAATCCCCCAGGGCGATGCTGGCATCTGAGGTTTCTGATGATGAAACCCGATCCTCCCCGACCCAGGTTGCTTGTGATATGGAGATAGGTGATGAGGAGAAGGAGAAGAGTGAATCCCCATCTGACCTGGAGAGCTTGAGCAGTTGTGGCTCTGAGTTCGAGTATACTGTAAACTTGCTGGCTAATCACATTTATTTACTAAAAAGCTAGGATTTTTTTAAAAAGTTCACTCAACTGTTGCTTCCAAATTTACATTCTTTGTTGGACAGCTAACTGAGGAGGAGGAGGAGACTCCTGTTAGGGAGAATGAATTTGAAGGCTATGCACGTGCAAAAAAGGTACATCACTGTTTGGAGCATATATACGCAGGTATGAAGAGATTTGCTGATCACAGTACCAAAGGTCGTGCCTTATTCCACGCTCTGATTTCTACAGCCGCCATAGTTGGCCTACTGTTTGATAAGGTCCTTTTTTTTCTGAATGTTCTTTTATTACTTAATATATTTGAATCTCTTGAGTTTCTTTGCTCTGAGATACATTTATGAGAAAAGCTGGTAACAGCACAAAAATGTTGATAAAGTTTAACTGGCCTTAGATAAAATCGAAGCCAATTGTTTATTCTATAACCATCTTTGTTCTATATGTTTTGACAGGAGGATTACTACTGTTTTGGTATGTCTGCTGAGATGACTGAGCAATTGAATGACTTGTGGAATGAAATACTTGATAAGACAAAAGAGGTTTTTGGTAAGACAAAAGGGGTTAGTACCTGATCCTTTGGTCTCTCTGTTTTCATACATGCTTGTGTGGTGTGGGGGGGGGGGATCAAGTCTAACCCAGCTGGGATGAGGATGTAAGCCTCCTTCCTGTTAGAGGTCAAACACGAGTTACCTAAATTGAGCTCACTTTTATCCCTATCATACATTCTCTATGCACTTTACATTATGTGTTTCTCTTGTTCTCTGCTGTCTCCTTAAGCCATGAGCTGTTAGTGGATCTCTTTGGATGTATAGGTTCACCTCTTATTGTTTGTAAACAAAAATTAAAATCAACTAGAGGTAAATTGATTGGGTGCTATTACCTCTTTTCCTTGGAGAGATTTCTTTGGATTATAATTGGTGTGAATGGTGGACATGCGCTTGCAAACCAGTGACTATGAAGTGTACCTCTTCTCTTTCCCCCAATCATACAATTTATTTTTCATTGTTGCTTCTATTTGTCATCAGCCTCCTTGCTTGTATTTCCCCATCTTACCTTATTTCACCCACTTTTATTATTGTTGGATAATTCGCCAGCTCCCCTCTAATGTACTAGTTTGAGTACAATTGAGAATTTGGAGTTTAACTCTAGAGAATCCTTGCTTTCACTCGACAGGGGATTCAATTTGTTGCCAAGGTTAGAGGCAGGGGTAGAACTAAGTCGTTTTCGTTGAAGGCAGTAGGAAATGATTTAAAAGAGCCGACGAGAACATTCTGCATTAATCCTTTTGTCTTGTCTTGTTTGAATAATAATTTGCACAGGAAATTCTTTCATTATGTCAGTAGATGATACACTGGATTCTTAGAGAGATCAAAGCCACATCACGTGGCTTACACAAAGACCTTGGAATCTTCGGTTGCTCTTTCTTTTCTTTATTTAATACTAATACTGGTTCTTTTTTCCCTTTTATGTGTTTTGTTTATTTGTAAACCTTTTGTACCCTGTGTTCCTTTCCATATCTTTTTGTTAGAGTGTTATCCCACATCAAAAGTTCAAGAGAAGTTCTTGAGTTGAACTAACTAATAGACTGAATTCAATCTTTTAACGTGGTTCAGCTCAAGTGTCTTATTGCCTAATTCAGTTGTCCATACCCATTCTAAATTCTATCATGGTATTGGAGCCAGTTTTAGCCCACCTCGTTTGTCAAGGTCCTAGCGGCCCGTTAGTCTTTAGCCCAGTTGTCTGTATGGAGGTTGTAACCAACGGCCTGTGGCCTGTTTAACACGATTGCTCGTCTGGAAGTCCATACCCAGCGGCTCGTGGTCCGTAAAGGTGTTGGCGCTCAAAAAAATCAAGGAAATGGGAGTTTATTTACAAGTGGTCAACCGGTTGATTCAAAATGGTCCGGTTGTCCACTTGAGCGGGAGTGTTAGAGTGTTATCCCACATCAGAAGTTCAAGAGCAAAATAATCGATCGGTATATAAGCTCTTGAGTTGAACTAACTAAAGATTGGATTCAATCTTTTAATGTGGTTTAGCTCAAGTGTCTTATTGCCCAATTCAGTTGTCCATACCCATCCTAAATTCTATCACTTTTTTCATTTATAATATGTACTTCTTACATTTTTCTTGTATGTTCCCGCTTTTTCTCTTTGCACCATAACTAACACAAGCCTTATGAATGAAGAAGCAAACATGTGTGCACTTGTTTCTAGTGTTGTTTTTCTTTGACCCAAAATAGAGATGGGAAGATAAATAAGATATGGAGGTCGTAATATCTTTTAATATACTCATCTACAGTATTGTACCTCTTTTCTCATAAGTGAACATGGTTTCTGGGACTCCAAATATTTTGGAATTAAGGCTAAGATATTGTTGTTGCTGCTATGGCCTTGAGCATTACCCTGAAATAATTGTCTAAGAGGCTTAAAATAATTTTCTAGTGTCTCCCATGGAATATAGTGTTTATCTTGATGTGTCCCATAAATAATGAATTGTGTATTTTCTCACATCAAAAAAATGTGTCGTATATTATTTTTGGGTATATCAAACCCAAATATGCAAACGCTCCCCACCTATTCATGGGTAGGGGAAGTGAGTCTTTAAATTCATCAAAGAGTTTTTGTCTTTATTTTTTGGGCCCTTGAACTCTACCTTTTGAAGGTGGTGCCTATATTTTCCCCAAGCAAGTACTAGGAACCATTTTTATAAATACCCCTTGTCTCAATCTTTTGCTTTTGTTATTTTGTTGTAGGGTTCTTCATTTCTTCCATTCTTCAATTTGATTGCTGATGGAAAAATTGACTTTGAAAAGTATCCTTTAGTGGGGGAGTATGATGTTGCTTATATGCTTGGGGTGCGGTTCTCTTACGACTCAATATCAATATATTTGCTTGTAATTAATTTATGATATTGAGCTCCGTCCTAATCCCCCCATGCAAAGATTTTGGATCGAGGCCTCATGCACAATGCCATTTCATAACCAATACCCGGTAATGTATTCTTGTAGCATATGTTATTTTACTTCCATTTCTCATATTTCATGCTTGGTGAGATTGGATAATTTCCTTAGGATATTGGTTGATATGTTTGTTTGGAAGAATGATTCATCTACTCTCAGGTTAGCCGCCCACTCATAACTAGTGGTTTTTGGTACAACATTACCCCAGTGCCTCAACGGCTCCCGCCCATGGCGGGGTAGGGGGGTTGGATGTACGCATTCTGACCCCTATGTTTAAAACATAGAGCGGCTGTTTCTATATGACCTGATAAGCGTCGAAAGTTGCATTGACATATTGCTACTTCACTATTGCAAGAAGTACATGAAGAGGCAATTTGCTGTATTCCATCATACCAAACAACAATTAGCATTGACTAACCGCTACCAATTTGCTTTATTCCATCATATCCAAAGCAAAAAAAATTGCTTTAGTAAATTAAAAAAATTTTCCCCATTTGCTTTAGTAAAAAATTTGCTTTAGTAAAAAAATTGCTTTAGTTTAAGGAGTCAATTGGCTTTATTTACTAGTGGTCTTTAGTAAATAAAAAAATTATTTATATACTCCATTCAAAATCACTTTGCCCATTTCTTTCTGTACACTTGCCGAGGCAAGTTTCTCGTTATTATCTTTAATTATATATTAGTAAAAATTCGTTAATATCTACAATTATATACTCCCTCCGTTCACTAAAACTCTTTCTCATTTTTTTCGCTCTCACCAAAACAGTTTCCTTTTTTTGATTAAAATGACTAATATATCCAAATAAAGTGATTGCAATTTACTCCATGCATTTACCATTGATACAACAAGTTATTTAAGTGATTTGTCTCTCTTTTCTTTTCGACAGTAATGATTTAATTGGAAAGTCAAATTACAAAAATAAATCCTACAAAAGTCAAAACAAGAGCCGTTTTGGTGAACGGAGGGAGCATTAGTGAAAATTATAAAACTTTGATATCCATAGGGTACTCACAAACAAGAATCGAATAAGACCCCACATGATTATATTTTCTCATATAAATTAGGAGAAGTTTAGAAGATTCTCCTTGTGAATAGTGTCAATAACATGAATAGAGGGAGTATGTTTTTACACAACCACCCCATCAGTAATTTATTTGTCGTTACCAATTATTTTAAGAAGGTTGTCAACCAAACATGGTCCATTTGTGAGTTGTATGACTGATTTATAGTTATGCACTTATGCGTGTTCTTTGATTTCTAGTGGTAGTAAGATTTTTATTTTCTTATCATCCCGTGGACCTCAGGTTGATTGTAATTGCTATTGTTGTAGTCAAGTAGTTTTTTGAGTGGATGGTACGTAAGTTGAGTTTTACAGCGCAAAACTACTATATATATATATATATACATACATACATACATATATATGTATATGTGTGTGTGTATATATAAACAGAAACACAAACACAACACACAAATAAAGAAGAAAAAATCGGTGGCCCCAAAATGCACTAGTACAAGTTTCAAAAATGCACAAGTGCAAAATGCACCACGGTAGAGCCAAAATGCACCATTTTCAACTGAACCGCACACCCTACACACACACACATACACGCAGACACACATACACACACACACTAGTGAGAATGAGATCTAATGTAAGAAATGAGAATGCATGTGGTGCATGAGAGTGTAAGATCTAAGGGTCATAAAAATTAGAAAAATGATCAAAAATTTGGAAATACGCTGTGGTATTTTAGTAAATAAGTCAAACTTTTATGCAATGTACATGTGCATCATGATGGACAAAAAATGCACACTTTTCATTTCTCTCACTAAGAGCATTATATTTTATATATATATATATATACACATACATATGTGTGTGTGTGTGTGTGTGTGTGTGTATATATATAAACACAAATAGGACACATGCTTTAATTAAAAGATAACATGTATGGTAACAAGGTCGACTACCAGAAACAAGAATGGAAGTTTTAAATAAAAAGCTCAATATAGAGAAACAATAGCTGGGCAAAAAAATGTGATGAGAAGTTGACGTGAACTTGAAAGTAGAGGAATTGCGATTACTAGATTCTAAGCGCAATAACTGTGAGTATTTGTGTGTGAGTAAATGTATTTATTCATTAAATCGTATAACTGAGAGTCGTCAGAGGGGTGATATCGCGTCAAGAGGGGTGATGTCGCGTCAAAACCAGAGGGATTTACCTGTTGATTAGAATTTTAGCTTGTGAAAAACTTGTTTCCGTCAATCCAGGCAATCCTACACTCCCACAATCCACCACTCCGATCCAAACGATTTGCGTTAATTCTTGATCTTTCTCGTGATTCAGATCACAAACCCTAAGGCGGTCCTCAAAATCATAGGATTGTACGATCCAACTTGCGATTTTGACTATCTTTGTTCAACTCTTATACCACTTAAAAACAGTATGAAGCAACTCTCCTCAAGACCCTATTCATGAATCATATATTTATACTAACTAGTCATGCCTAACTTGGTTTAGACTGGAGAGAAGAGGATATCTGAGATTCTTATACGTAAAATTGTGTGACAATTGCTTTTTTTTACTGTGTTTTTACAAAATATTCATAACTTATATTTTAGAAAATATTTGTTATTGAGTATACTTGTTGAATTTTCTTTGGATGAATTGAGTTGGGAGTCTTTGAAATGAGTCGGGTATTTCAAAGACTTTCTTTTAGACTTTCCTCATTTTGAAGAAAAGAGTTTTAAGACTCTCTCAAGACTGGACTGCCACTGGGGATATGCCCTAAACAACTAGGAAAGGCCCAAACTCGTCAGTTTCTAATTCCAGCGTAAAACTAGACAGGCAATCTTAAAACATCCCCAACTTCTTCGTTACATATTGAAAATAGGCGTATGGCCACTTTTTGGAAAGGTAAGATCAAGAATTTTCATCTCCAGCAAGATTCACCTCAGAATGAGTCATATAGTTTAATATATCACGTCTGCAAGGTGACCGCACAAATTTTAGCTAATGCTCCTGCGTTAGTGGATGCTTTGATTGGTCTTTTATAAGTTTTAGGGGCATCCATATCCATATCACTTTGGGAGTAGCTATTACCCACTGCTGTGGCCTGTGGTGTTTACTCAATTATTGAGAATGTTTTCAACATAACATTTTCAAGTTGCGGAATTTCCAAGTTTGGGATGACCATTTTTTGTGTAGTGTCATCAAGTGGGACTGCCGGGTGGGTGTGGGTTGTGAGTTGTGTGACACTTTAGTTTGCTCTTGGTTAATCAGTCTGTTAGGTTTGTAAGGTTCCCACTGTTTTTTTTGTGCTCTACTTCTGATGCACATCTCTTTCTCTGCCTCTTTTTTTTTAGGTCAACAATTGTATGATGAAGGAGAAGGTGAAGGTAAATCTTGGGCTTGATCTACATCTCTCTTACATTTGAACTCTGATTACTTGTGTCTTTTATATTAAATTTTTTATTTTTCTTTTATTCCGTTTTTTATTCATTTATTTTTTTGTGATTGCAGGTTTACTCTGATATAGCAGATACAATCGGCCGTGCCATGGAAAATAAGTCGATACCGGTAAACACTCATGTTTTTCTCATTTTTTTTGGTTTTGGGCACTATGCTATAATAATTACACACGAGTTTTGATTTTAAACTATTACAGATAGATCTTAATAAACTAAATTGCTAATAAAACGGTGCATATGAGAACTATTAATACAACAACCACAACAACAAATTACCTACTGCCCCATAGGTGGTGAGGGAGTCGGATGTCTGCATCATTTCCCTAGTGTGTGTTTTTGTGTATGAAAAGAACACTCGGGGAGTTTCTGGATGACCCTAGAAATCTTGTCGATATTTGCATTGAAGTGCATACGGTATACTAAGCCATTTTGCTTAATTCTAAAACCAGATGTTAGTGAATCTTTGGCTCCACTAGAAATGTAAACTTTCTGAGAACTATAATGATGCTTCTTCAATAACTGCCAAATCTTGTCCTCTGAGGTGATTCTTGTCTTTATTGCCCCATTTGTACAAGTTCCTGCAATAACTATCCTGCCTTGTGAGATTGTTTTTCTTAAGACTGTGAGACAGGACCAGTTTAAAGTAAAATATAATACTTTATTTCTGTAAACTGTACAGGATTATTTGTGTTCTCTTAGCATAAATAGAGAACAGACCAACATGACTTTTACTAACCAACACAACTATTACAAACCAACATACCTATTAACTATAGAAACTACCCATAACTACCTTTTAGAAACTACCCACTTTTGTTTTTTTAATTAATTAAATATGTAAAACACACTAAACGACACCACACTAACTGACCTGTGTTGGTGATGTGTAGTCATCGGCCCAAAGTGGCCCACTTATAGACAACTGAGAATTAGGAGACCAGATTAGGGTTTCGGCCGGCCCAAATGGTTTTAAGCCCAGTTTGCTATAACTTGTCCAGCAAGGGTTAAACCCTAATTAGTTGTCTATATATATGATCTCCTGTACTTGTAATCATCATCACTCAATAATACAAACCCTAGTTGCCCCTGTGGATGTAGGTCAGATTAGACCGAACCACGTTAAATCTCGTGTTCTCTATTGCTTTCTTGCTTTCTATTCGTGTGTGTGTGCTTTTGATCTTAACAACTGGTATCGGAGCCTAGGTCATACACACAGATCTGCCTCCACTGCCAACCCTAGCGACTCTAGGGTTTCTGCCGACACATCAGAAGACCACCGAGATAGTCATCTGTGGGCAGTCCGAACAACCTTGCTGTTCAGTTTGCTGCTGCAATTTTCGAGGTCAGTTCTTGTTGTTTGTTTCAATCTGTTCTCACGTGTTCTCTGGTCAGATCTGGGATACTCAGAAGAGATGATGTCTGAGGACGGAAAGATCAGGATAGAGAAGTTTGA